ACGCCGGTCGTCGAACGTACGTGTTGTTGGACTCCCAGATCCCAATTTACTTAAGCCGCCTTCCTAGTTAAGAAGTCGAGGCGTTGTCCTTCTTCCCTCGCCCTCAGGTGGCGGGCGGAAACCCAATCCACTTCCAACGCCTTCCTACTTCATGTTTCGACCCGTTTCTTCCGACCGACGGGTAACACACAGAACCAGCCCAGACCCCGGCGCCGCACCGCCGCCGCCGCCCTCTCCGCCCGCCCCTGCCGAGCCGCCGCCGCCCGCCCGAGGCTGGCGCAGCGCCGGCCGCGGCGCCCGCCGAGGTGGTGGCGGCAGCGCCGTGAGGACCACCCGGGGCGGCACGAGAGAGAGCCTCTTGGCCGTCGCGTAAGGGGAGGGGCGATAAAGGGTGGGGTGGGTAGGGTGGGGAGAAAAGGTTAATTTTTCTGGCCCTGTGGGGCCTCAGGGTTTTATTGGGGCCCTAAAGAGCCCTTTCTCGGGCCCTGAAGGGCGGTGCAGCAAGGGCAGCAGAAAAGAGGCCCTGCAGGGCCCCTAAAGAGACCCTTTCGGGCCCCAGAGGGGGCCTGTAGGGCCCGAAAGTGCATTTTTCTCCCCCCCATTTATCATCCCTACATTAAGCGACGCCCACGCATCGGAAAAAGTGTCATTTCCTCCTCCTCCTCCTCATCCTTCTCCTCCCCCTCCTCCTCCTCCTCCTCCTCCTCCTCCTCCTCCTCCTCCTGCTCCTTCCGCACGCTCGACTCCTCCTCCTGCTCCTCCTTCTCCCCCTCCCCCTCTCCTCCTCCGCCTCCTCCTCCTCATCATCCGCCTCCTCCTTAACCAAATCGCTCCTTAGCCAAATCGGTTCAAGGTGTCGCTGGGGCGAGGTGTGGCGTTGGTCCAGGCTGCCCGCGCCCAGTCCCCACGGCACACAATGAGCCTTGCTTGTCTGATTCTTACATTATCGTGATTCTTCTCGGGGCCTTGCCCCCGCATCTTGCAGCTGTCACCCACCGCTGAGTGACGCCCTTCTCTGAGTGTGCCTCTCGCGTGTCTCTGCCATGGCGAAGTCTGGGGCAACAGACGCTAGCAGTCGCGCGGAGACCTTCCGCATCTATGGCCCAAATTCGAAGGAACCCATGGATGGAAGGGGACGCCCAACCAAGTCCGCTCTTCGGCAAGGCCAGAACCGTTCTGAGCGGCCCCGTCGCAAACGGCAGCCACGCCGACAAGACGAACGCGACGCTGCTGCTGCTGCTGCCACCCTGCAGGAGGTCGATGCCTTGCCCATCGCCGCCTCCCAGCTGAACGAGCTCCTGGTTGCCCTCGAGATGGCGTCCACCTTCCATTCTCAATATCGTCCTGATGGGCATGCTGCGGCTTATGTGCCCGCCCCTGTGCCCAGACATGCTGAAGAGACTAGTACCCAGTCCACGCCCGCGGCCACACCTCGCGCAGGCAGCCGCGCCGCCGCTCCTGGCTCTTCCAGCGGAGCCGCCGCCGCCTCTTCTGGTGGAAGTGCCGCACACGCCGACGACCCGCGGCAAGCTCCCGGCGGAGCTGATCCATGGGGAGGTCGGGTTTCGAACGCAGATGAATTTGGCAAGCAGATGCGAGCCCTCTTCGACAAGCAGCTTGGCGCATGCACTTCCGAACTCCAGGCGGCGCGCGCAGGCGCGCTCAGGAAGGCGCAGGAGAACTCCCACTCTAGCCTGCGCAGGTGCTTCCAGCAGGCGCGCCCGACGAACGCCAGCATCGACGAGCGCGTGATAGTGATTGCAGACATCCGACGTAAGCAGGCTGAGCAAGAGAAGGACCCGGACAAGCTGCGCGACGCAGTCACCAGGATGGAGCGCAGGCTTGCTCTGGCAAAGGCCCACGCCTCGTCCATCGACGCGGCGAAGTTGGCGCCGCGGGAGAGGCAGGCGTGACCCGCTCTCTTTACTTCGGGGGGCACGTCGGCGATCGAGCTACTTGAGGCGCGTCGAGCCATCCAGAGCTGGTTCGCGGAAGCTGGCCTCACCATGGATCAGGTCGACGTTGTTGGACAGGTACTTCCTCGGCGTTTCATCATTTGCACTAAACGAGGTGATGGGGTTGCGCGTCGCTGGCACTGTCGCTGGCGCGCGCCCTTCGCGCGCACGGTGCCCGGCGTTCTTCTAGTGCTCAAATTGCCCAAGGCGCACAGCCGCCGATTTACATCCGCCCTGATAATTCACTCCGTCCGGCGCGAGTTTTTTTGGCCGAGCGCCGCGTTGATCTTCGGATTTCACGCCAACGTGCCAAGGGAGTTGATATGGTGGCTGGCGTTCTGCTAGCTGCGCCACGGGCGACCCGACCGACTCCTGTTGTCGCGCCACCGCGGTCGACGAGTCCGTCGTCGCCGCTGCGCGCCAGCCCCCCACCAACATGGCGCATGTCACCGCGAATGGGCGGATTCCCCAGCAGCAGACGGTCTCCTCGGGAGTGGGCGCCCACTCGTCATGGAGGTCGCATCGGCCCGTGGAATGCGAGAGGTCTTGGTCGCATTTATTCCGGGCGGAGGCGCTCCATGTTCAAGGAGGTTATCGTTCGCGCGGAGGGTCGCGCAGTCATTCCCGCGCAGTAGATCTCTGCGTCTTGATCCAAGCCTCTCCCCTCTACTACTGTCTCTTCCACCCCGTCATGGGCGCGCCTGGCGCCGGTGGTGCGGTTGTCCTTGTCCTCGCCCTGTCTCCCTCGACTGCGCAGTCCGTTCTCGAGGCAGATCTGCCAGTGGCGTCGCGCGAAGTCCCCATCGATGGCCGCGCGCGGATGGTCAGCGCCGTCGACCCTTCGACCAAGTCCGAGATGCAGGTTATGAGCGGGCACAACTACGAGCTCCCCCCTCTTCTCCCGCCTCGTCTTCGTGATTCGTGGATGCAGGTTCACGGCGGGCGTCGCTCTGGCCCTGTTTGTCCGTCGTGCGCGGCGCTCGGCGCTGCGACGCCCCTGCTGGTGCTCCACTGATTTGCCAGAATCCAGATCCTGCTCGCGCTCGCCTGTCGGTGGGCACCCGCGTGGCCCCTCTCGAGACCTTCTGCGGACCGCCGGCGCACGCCGCTATTGGAATTTGGTTTGAGTTGCCCAACCGATGAACAAAATGTCTCTGCTCTGTCAGTTTGGAACGCGCGTGCGTCGGAATCGTTGCCGAGCGAGCGTTCAGCATCGTTCATGAAAGTTCATGTGGGCCCGCGCTCGAAACCCGAGTCTCTCCTGTGCGAACCCGCGTCGGTTTCTTTCGTTTCGCAATTGCCGCGCTGGCCCCCTCAATGAACCACGCACTCCTGATTGTATCCTGCTTGTCCCTGTCGATCGCGAGAAGCTATCCGCTCTGGTCGCTGCGCTGAATGCATCTCGCCTTCCAGCTGATTTCCGCTGTAAATCCAGGAAGCTGCGCGCGTTGGAAGCAGCGCGCGAGACCCGCAACTCAGTTTCAAGGGTTGCCCCCCAGCCTCGCAGGACCCCGATGCTCTCGAGGCTCGCATGGTCACCCTCAAGGCCATCTCTCGGGCGATTTGGAGGCAGGGTTTTGTGTTGGGGCCACCCTCACGGCCACCGCTGTCCCGGGCGCTCGTTTTCTCCATCTCCTTTCCTAGCTCTCTCCGTTGGAACCAGATGCCCATCGCGCCTTTTCTAGAGACACGAGCGCAGCGCTGCTGCGTTAGCCCGACAAGCGGAGGCCGCGGGCGGCCGCCCTTGCGCAATTGCTGCCCGCCGTCTATAGCGTTCGCTACAGCGCGGGGCAAAATTCTGGCGCCCGATAGGCAGCGCGACGGTACTTGAGGGGATTCGGCCCGAGGCGACCGCCGCGGACGCCGATCCCGCGATTGCCCGAGCACATGGCGATACTCGGCCCTTCCAACACTGGGAGGGGGGGGTTCTCACTGCCAAGGCGGTGGGCCCTGCCTAGGTCCGTTCTTACCTTGGTGGTCTTGGGGCCCCTGGCGGCCCCGGCTTTAGCGGTCTCCGTGTTCCGCCGCGCGTTGGCCTCGAGGGGGCCATGGCGCGTGCTCGCATCGGATCCTAGGCTCGATGGGTTCGCCTGCCGCGCGTGGGCAGCGATCCCCGAGCAGACTGTTGCACTCGACGGTTTTGCGATCCACGGTCCCCGTGCAGTCCCAGTGCTGCTCGATATCAACGATTCTGTCTTTGCTGTTCTTGTTGGGGGTCACCCCCCCAATGCCGCGCCGACTGCGCGCGCCAGGCCGGCAAGGCGCGGCCCGTGATCATTGCGGTGAGATCATTGCTGATAAGATCATTGCTGGCGCTGCGGATTTCACGGCGCCTGCTAAATTAGCTGGAACATCACATGCCAATAAGCGAGGATTCGTCAGCGGGCGCCGCCTCATTCGCAACATCAGCTGCATGGGCGCCCGCGCCAGGGGACGCAGCCTCAGGGAGGCTGCCCGCCAGGGGTGGCCGTGTTCTGTTGCGTTCATTGTGATGGCCGCATTCTCTGCTGTAGGCCACCGGTGGCCCTTCGAATACCTGCGCCGCCGATGGGGCCCCCCAAGGGCGCCGCGACCTGCTCCGCTCCCGCTGCATCTGCCCCAGGGGCTTCGGGCGCATCGGCATGGAATTTCAATGTATGTATGTTCTCCAAGGGTGCCCCCTGTCGGGATCGGCCTGGGCGTCTGACCTTTGACCTCGCGTTTCGCCCGCCTTCCGGGGCCGTTGAAATGCGCCCCGGCGGAGACGCCGCAGGAGAGGCAGGGGCCCGCGCGGGCGACGTCGGCGCGCTCGCCCCCCGACCGTCGCGCCATCCCGAGCTGTGCCTTTCATTGCTGCAGTCGAGGAGCGCGCCCTTCTTAACGAGTGCTGCGCCGCGCCGCTTTGGGGCGCATGCGCCCCAGCTCTTCGCGACAGTGCCCTGTTAGAGCGTGCGCGGAAATGGTGTGCGAGGGTTTCTCTGGGCGGCGCGTCCAGGCCTGGGCCCGCTCGTTGCCCCTCTTCCAAACGATTGGGCCCAAGCATCAAAATGCGGCGTTTCTCGCTCGATGGCGCTCGCGCCATCCCAGGCTGCAGTCGTGGCCTGGATCGCCGTGATAGGCCCCTCACTCTCCGCGTGGTCGGCCGACTCTGCGGCTAGGCGATCGGCCCCGCCGACCCCTGGCCCTTCGGCGCAGCGGTGCCGGGGGCCGCCGCCGCGGAGCGCAGCCGCGCGCGCGATTGCCTCGCGTCTTCTTCGCTCGCCAGCCCACCGCCTCCATCGCAGGCGCCGTTGGCACTGGCGGCCTTCGAGGCGGCCGCGCCTCCGCCTGCCGCGCGGGGGGGCGCTTTGGGCCTCGTCGAGCCAGGCGAGGGCAGCATCGCGGCGTTCGCGGTCTTCGGGGCGATCGAGACATTGGCGCAGCTGTGCCGTTGCGGGCGGAGCCGCGATCCATTCGCACGTTCGCCGCGGGCGATCGCCAGTCGGGCGCGATTGGGGGCCGGGGGCCCTGCTGCTCGCATCTTTCGTCGCTGACCCAGGGTTTCGGCGCGAGAGGATCGCGGCCCGGCCCTGCCACGTCGACTCGCGGGTCGTCTACACGGTGTAAACGAAGAGAAGGACTGGAGCATGGTGCACCTGATGGCGGGCGGTCGGTCGCCGAGGTCCGCGCCGGGCGACGGCGCCGAGACGGCGCAGTTCGCCAGGTTCCCGTCGGAAGACGTGTTGCGCGGGCTCGTCGCGCAGGCCATGGCCGAGGTGGCATCGCTCCGTTCGGCCGAGCCGGACCGGCTCGTTCCCGCCGACCCGACGCACTTCGCTTCGGTGGGCGGGCGGCGCTACCCTCTTGTGCGACACCGCCTCAATGGCATGCAAGTGCTGCGCGCTGGGGCCAAGGCGACCGCGGGCGCCGCGAAGGCCGTTGGGCCCGCCTGCCGCGCCCGTCGCGGACGACCGAATGGGCGACGACGGTGGACCAGGGCCCCCCACTCTGCCCGCGCCGTCGCGCGCGCCGGTCGGGTCATTCGACTCGGGCGCGGGTGCGCTGGAGGCGGGCAACGATGGGCGCCGCTTGGTGGTCAGCGAGCCGGGCCTCGCGCGCTCGTGCGGGGGGCGGGCGCGCCGGTGCCCCGCGGCCGCGTCGCGCTGAGGTTCGGCGGCCGCGGTGTCGCGGACATCAAATCAACGGCGAGTCGGCGAGGCGGTTCCTGCGCAGCTGGTGTCCGAGAGGTCAGCGATTTCGTTTATGCCTCCCTGCAGATCTCGGCGCGCGAGCTGGCCGTGCGAGGCGCTGACGGCGCGCCCGCCGACAACGGGCGCCGCGTCGGCATCGCCCCGGCCGCGGAGCGGCGCGCCGAGTCTCCCGGCGCCCCTGCCGAGCCGCATTCCGCCGTCGAGCAGGGCGATGCGCGCGTTGTGGGCGGGCGCCGGCGCTCAAAATGTTCGCTGCAAGAGCTGGCGCAGAGTCGCGATCGAGAGCTACCCCACCACTTGGTCTTACAGCCCCATCGAGGCCCCCTCGAACGTGATGTGCGCCCTCAGGCAATCTGATCGTCGCGGTGACAACAGGCGGTTGTGGCTCGATAGTACATGGGCTCGCTCAAAGAACAATGCTGGCGAGAGGGTCTATCATGAATTCCCCGTTTTAGTCGACTTGCTATGCGCGGGGGGACACGCGACCAGCCGAACATGCCGTCCTTGGCGAGCTTCGAGATCATAGCGCACAGAACCCAGAGCGTCGTCGACGCCTACTCGGGGGGCCCTCCGAGGACTCCGCGGGCCAATGCGAGGTTCTACCCTGGCGCGGGCGCCGCCGTGGACATGGCGGCGCCTGAGCTGAAACGCTACGTGGCGAAGAAGGGCGAGGCGGAGGCCGAGTCGACGCGGCCCCGCGCGCGGACGCCTCCTCTCGCCGCTGACGCCGCGGCTGCTGGGGGCGGGCGGGGGCGCCGGAGCTGCCGCCGCGAAGGGCCGACCTTCCAAGGGCCCCGGCAAGGGGGCTCCAGAGGGAGGGGAGGCCGCAGACGCGGCGGCCGCCCAAGGATTGACCTGGCCCTCGGCAGTGGAAGTGGCCCTCGCGCTGCCGCTCGCCTGCCTGGGACTGCGCGCGGATCCGCTCAGATGTTCCCGCCTCCTGATGATCCAGCGGCCACCGTGGACTTCTGGATCCATCATCCTGTACGTGCCCAGCGCCATTTTGTGAAGGATTGGCGGCAGTGTGTGCTTTCCCTTGAACGGCTGTGGGGCTCCAAGCATCGCGAGCTCGCTGCCCACCGCCAGCGCGGTGCGCGCCCATGCTGTCGACCACTTCAGCAGGAGGCCCTGGTGATGATCGCCCAGGGAGTCAAGCTCCACGGCGACCGCCTCCTGATTTCACGCCGAAGGAGGCCTTCTCGGGGCTACTTCGAGGCCGCGGGGTCTACGACGCCGAGACGGCACGCGCTACCTTGGCACCCTACCAACGCGTCGCCGTTCCTCTCCCCAGCGACGTCTCATCGGCTCCAGCCGTGGGAATTTTGGTTGGGTGGCGCGCCCTCGACTGCCTGGTGGAGGCAGAGGGGCAGATTCTCAGGGCCAATGATGGGGTCCAGCTTGGCCGTGACACCCACGGTGAGATTGGGGTGTTCACCGACTTGCTGGTGGCCAACAGTCGCCGCCGCTGCGCAGCTTTCGTAAGGGATCTCGATCGGGGGGGGTTGCTCGGCTTCGCCCGCGAAACCGAGGAGTTCGTCGGTGTGTTCTTTGCGTGAAGCCGCCAGCATGCCAAAATTACAAGGGGTCAGCGAGGTTCGGTTCGGCGGTGGGGTTTCGCCTCTGCGAGGGGGCGGCTTCCCCGGCCCACGTCTTCTTTGTGATGCTTCAGGGGATGGGCTGGGCGCCGATGTCGTCGCTGGAGCTTCGCGCCGACATCGGTATGGTGATCTACATGGTCCGCATGGGGGTCCGCCTTGGTTAGGATGCTCGCTGAGGCATGGGTGAGCCGCGCGTCGGCTAGGAGAGCACTGGGATGCATTTATTCGCCCTGGGCGCGCCCTGTTTTTTGGGCCGCGTACTACTCCCGCGAGTTGCCGCCCTATCCCCCTCACGGGCCCAGCATTCCAAACGTAGACTGCTCGCGAACTTGCCGCACTGTCACGTGCGACCCACCTGAGCGGCCTCGCGGCCATCATTCTGTCGTCCAAGTACCTCGCCTACATCATCAGCAGCGTCACTGCATCATTCACTTTCCACGCACTGGGCCCCGTCATCGCCCGTGGGTGCCGGCGCCGCGTCCCGGCAGTTGCCGTGGATCCCGCTGACGGGGCCGGACGCGCCAGCACAATCAGGTGAGAATTGTTTCACTGCTGCAGGGCCTCTCTTTCCCCTCCCTCCACCCTCTTGTAATGTCAGCTTCTGATTAACAAATGGCCAGCCCCCCCACCCGGGGCTGATGAATAGACCCTGCGGGGCGCGATACTTGAACAACAAATCACGCGTTAAGGGGAGGAGGAGAGAGGATGGGGAGGGAGGAGAAGGAGGAGAAGGCGGATAACGAGGAAGAGAAGGAGGAGAGGGATGAGGAGGAGGGATGAGGAGGAGGCAGGAGGAGGAGGAGGAGGAGGAGGAGGAGGAGGAGGAGGAGGAGGAGGAGGCGGAGGAGGAGGAGGAGAAAACCCGAGCGACAAAGAGAGCGGCCGCTCGAAAGGGGCGCAGGCAGGGCGGGGGACGGCGGCGACGACGGCAACAAAGGGGGGGGAGGAGGTCTACCTGCCTTGCTCGGGTCGGACGAAAAGCTGGGGAAGCAAAGGGGGAGGGGGTTGCGAAGTTTCGGTCGCCCCGCCGAAGGGCCAGTCCTCGACGCATGGCCGCTTTCGGCGCCAGGGGGTGTTAGGAAAATCGGCGACGTGAGCTGCTTGGCAAATCCCCCCTTTGCTGCGCCCCACAGCCCACCTTGCCCGCAGGCCCGCGTCGATTCGACAAGATAACGGGCGCCCTGGTTCGCCCTTGCCTCCCGACAACCCCCCCCCTGCCTCTCGTTGGCGGCCGGGCGTCGGCGTTAATCACCTGCGCCGCCCCGTTGATTTTCAATTTGGCGGGCGCCACCCCGCGATGCGCCCCGGCAGCCCGGCAGGGGAACGATTTTAGAAACACGCGGCCCCCACGGATTTGTCAATCACAAGCTGACATTACGCTGGCCGATGCGCTTTTCGGTGACCCCGTTTCGCTCCAGCGCTGGTGCACCAACTCTGTTTCGCCGCCGACGAACCAAACAAATGTTTTTCCAGGGGGATCAGCGTCTGGTCTGAGAGGCACCATCGTGCCCTTTAGTATGTTTTCTCTGGTGCCTGGTGGTCCCAGGCCCGCTTGCACAAAACGGGTCCGGTGGCCAGTCCTGCGCGCACTCTGTGTGGGAACCTCGATGGTTCCATGATGTACCGCTGCTGTGAGCGCGTTGCCTTGGCTGGCCGCAAGGGGTGTTGAGTTTCGCCAGGCGTGCTCCGCCGCGCACGCCGCGCCAAGGAGCAACGATTTCGAGCCGTGGGAATGTTTTGCGAGAGGCATTGTCCCTAAGTTTCTCCCCGTTGTTCGGCTTCGACCCTCAACAGATGGTCCACTGGTACCGTCGACCAGCCAGCGGTCTCCTAACGAGTCAGTTGTTTTCGGGGGGCCTGTTTTTGGTCTAGCGCGCTTGAGTTTGCCAGAACTGGCTGGGCTCTAGTGATTTGTACCCCCCACGGTCAGGTAGTTGTTGCGGCCTACGGGCCTGTGCCTATAGAGTTCGCGCCGCGCCGGGCGGCGCGGGACGTGGACGATGTCGCTACCCACGTTGACTGAAGTACTGGCGATTGCGTGGGCACGTTTCGGACCTGGGTTAAGGGCCCTGCTGCTGGGTCGCGCTCGGATAACACCAGGGCCCACACGTGGGTTTCTTTTGGGGCCTCTCTTTCCCCGAATGATTTCGAGGCCCGAAAGTCTAAGGCTCACTGCAGTATGACGGATGCATATAATGGAAGCCACGCTTTCAGATAAGCGTGGGAAAAACGCGGCAGACGTGTTCGCTAAGCAGGGTGGCCTTTCGGAGCTAAGGAT